AGGAGGCTGAGGCAGGAGAATCACTTGAGCCTGGGAGGCAGAGGCTGCAGTGAGCCAAGATCGCACCATTGAACTCCAGCCTGGGCAACAGGAGGGAGACTCGGTTCCCAAAAAAAAAAAAAAAGATTTCAAACTTCTAGGAAACTAAAAATGTTGGTGCATTAATAAATCACTAGCAGAAAAACAAAAGAAATAAATCACTAGCAATTTAGACAGTAACACTGCAAGAAGGAGAAGCTGGTGGCTACATAGTGTTTGTATCCCGACTTTTACAAATCAAGCTGGTTATAAAGTCATTCTGTCAGGCCAGGCACGGTGGCTCACGCCTGTATTCCCAGTACTTTGGGACACTGAGGGAGGCAGATCACCTGAAGTCAGGAGTTTGAGACCAGCCTGACCAACATGGAGAAGCCCCATCTCTACTAATACAAAATCAGCCAGGCGTGGTGGCTATATTCCCAACTATTTGGGAGGCTGAGGCAGGAGAATCGCTTGAACCCAGGAGGCAGAGGTTGCAGTGACTGCAGATCGTGCCGTTGCACTCCTGCCTGGGCAACAAGAGCAAAACTCTGTCTCAAAAAAAAAAAAAGGAAAAAAAACCATAAAGTCATTCTGCCATTCTCAAAGATATTAAGTTACCCACACAATAAATTAAAAATCTCCCAATGCCTCTATGGACCTAACAACTCCACGGAAACTAGCATGTTAAGCATTTTATCTAAAATACAATTAAAAAAAAAAAAACTTTTTTGGAAACCAGCTATCTCCAGTTCATTACCTCACTATTGAGTCACGCCTTTAACAAATCCAGACCTTATACTTTCTATCCTTTTACACTAGTGCCTCTGAAGCCATTAAAACTCTCCCACATTAAAGCAAAAATCTAGGATGTCCAGGTTTACTTCCCCATCACTTTTCTCAAGCTGAAGAGTTTTGGATTCAGTATCTAAGAAGGAAGTCGAGTTGGGGAGAGGAAGAGAGGATCAAGTAGGAAAGGAAAGGCAGTCTGTACTGTTAATGTCTCTTCCCCCTCCCATTTAGGGGAGCTGAGGAAAAGCTGAGAAAGTGATCCACAGTTCCAAACAAAATGCTCTATTACAAGGAACGCGTGTTAACACAGGGGTTTCGTATTCCTTAATTTTTTTCTTTTGAGATGGAGTCTTGCTCTATCACCCAGGCTGGAGTGCAAGGCGCAATCTCAGCTCACTGCAACCTCTGCATACCAGGTTCAAGCAATTCTCCTGCCTCAGCCTCCCAAGTAGCTGGGATTACAGGTGCATGCCACCGCACCCGGCTTTTTTTTTTTTTTTTAGTAGAGACAGGGTTTCACCATGTTAGCCAGGCTGGTCTCGAACTCCTGACCTGAGTGATCTGCCTGACTCGGCCTCCCAAAATGCTGTGATCACAGGCATGAGCCACTGTGCCTGGCCTAGTGTCCCATTTTAGTAACTTGGCTGTAGAGGGTACTTCAAATAAGCACTACCTAGTGCACTATACCTAAACAAGGTAAGGATTAAACATTGTTCCATGGAAGAATTTTAAAACTCAACTATTACCTGCAAAAGACAAAAATGTATTTCTATGCATGTTGATGAACTAAGGGAAGAAAATCCTCGTTTGTAGCCAAGAAGGTAAACGGAGACTTGTTGCAGTATATTACTACCGACTTGAAAAGATGTCATGGCCAAGCATGGTGGCTCACTCCTGTTATCCCAGCACTTTGGGAGGCTGAGGTGAGCAAATCACCTGAGGTCAGGAATTCGAGACCAGTCTGGTCAACATGGTGAAACCCCATCTCTATCTACTAAATATGCAAAAATTAGCCAGGCATGCCTGTAATCCCAGCTACTCGGGAGGCTGAGGCAAGAGAATAACTTTAGCCTGAGAGGCGGAGGTTGCAGTGAGCCAAGACTGTTCCACTGCACCCCAGCCTGGGCAACAGAGCGAGACTCCATATTAAAAACAAAAACAAACAAGCAAACAAAAAAACACAATAATGTGGACCCTCACGACTAAACTGGGTACTTTCCCAGGTGATGCCAATGTGTGGCTACTATTTTACCTTGGAACCCCATTCAGCCTTCGAGTTTGGGAGGAATTAATTCCACTTGTAGCTCCAGGACAAATTTATGATTAAATTTAACATTTTTAAGCCCATCTCCCTGGCCAAGGAGACTTAAAGAGACACTGGCTGAGGGTTTCTGGAAAATTTTATTCATACTTCTAAAAAACTGCAACCAGGACTGCCTCTGATTAATCGTATCAGTTTGGATAGGTTATCCTTCACTTGCAACATTAAACATCCCAAATTAGAAAGCAATACATAGGCATGGTGAAATAAAGGGTGGGTTTTAATGTTTATTTACAGGAGGCTGCAAGATATGAAATTCCACAAAGAAATAAGAAACGTAGCCAGAGGACAAGCTTCATACAGTATGTACAGTTGGAACTGTTCAAGTATAGTTTCAGTGTAAAAAGTGCTACAATAACAAACCACATTTAGAAAGGAGTTCTTCGTAGAGAAACAGGAAGACAAAATACCAAACATAGTACACAACAGATTTATACCTCAGCTACATGATCTAAAAGTTAAAGGTCTCAGGAGTCCCATCCTGAACTTGGAAGGTATAGCCTTCAGAGGTAGTTTCTGGCACAACATTTTGATCTTCCTCTTCCTGGAAATATATTAAAAAACAAATATAAAAGTAATATAAATATTCCAAGCAGCAGCCTACCTAGAAGTCTGTATTTAATATTTAGATCTTGGCTGGGCGCGGTGGCTCACGCCTGTAATCACAGCACTTTGGGAGGCCGAGGCGGGTGGATCACAAAGTCAAGAGATCGAGACCATCCTGGTCTCTACTAAAAATACAAAAAATCAGCTGGGCCTGGTGGCATGTGCCTGTAATCCCAGCTACTCAGGAGGCTGAGGCAGGAGAATTGCCTGAACCCAGGAGGCGGAGGTTGCAGTGAGCCGAGATCGCGCCATTGCACTCCAGCCTGGGTAACAAGAGCAAAACTCCAACTCAAAAAAAAAAAAAAAAAAAAAAGATCTTGATCTGCATATTATACATTTAATCCTGTATGATATTCTAATATTTGACACAGGGGAGGGAGGGTCTCTGAAACTTTGCCAATTCATGAGTGCCTGGGGAGTTGTGGGGGCCGGGGATAAGGAATGCTACTACAGTAACAGAAAAAGCCTGAGATTATTTTTCTTCTCCAACTGTCAATTTTCAATTGGAAAAGAGTGCCTATTAAATAGGCCCAGAGCATAGTGGTGGGTTTGGCCTACTTCTCTATCACCTCGTACAATGACATCCATAAACTTATTCTCAAAATATTCTAAGATTCTCAAAGGCTGTTCACTTGAAACTAATCCGGTTACTTTTAAAATCTCAGTTTAAAGATTATATTGGCCGAGCGTGGTGGTTCATGCCTGTAATCCAAGCACTTTGGAGGCCAAGGCAGGCGGATCACCTGAGGTCGGGAGTTCAAGACCAGCCTGACCAACATGGTGAAACCTCGTCTTTAAAAAAATAAAATAAAAAGATTTTATTACCACCAAGCCAAACATCAGAGAAGCAAATAAGTACATTATGTCCTACACACACTGATATTTTGCTATATTTAACAAAGATATGAGCCTTTCTTTGTTTGTTTTGAGATGGAGTCTTGCTCTGTTGCTCAGGCTGGAATGAAGTGGCATGATCTCAGTTCACTGTAACCTCAAGGCTCACTTTTAAAAGTATGAGGGGAAAAAAAGGCTCCAGGCCTTGACTTTACATGTTTCCAAGTTGTTACTAATATTATCATCCATTACTCACCTCTACAGAGAAATACTTCTCAATTAAGTTTAATGAAGCTTTATACACAGACTCATTTTCATGGTTTTGCAGAGCTTCAATTTTGTCTAAGCCTCCACATTCTTCAATAATTATACTAAGTTTCTCAGTTTCACCTAGTTTCTCAGCAGCCTAAAAAAAAAAAATTAAGTTTACTAGCATATACTCTGAATGTTTTAAGAAAATGACATCAATAATTTGAATACTGATATGTCAGGCAGAATTAAGCACCTAACAGTTCCTTCAACAAGCATATCATAGTTTTATGTCCGTTTTATATTTTGTTGAAACTCAGTGTGATTGGATCTATACTTGCTCTTAGCACTGCTTCAACTGGAGCCTTCAACCAGAGATCTTACCATCAATAGCTCTCAACTTTTTCCATGTATCAAAATAACGTGGGAAACTTCTAAAACAACACTACATTCCAGTTCAACTGGTCTGATATGGGAACAGGGGCTTATTGTTTAGTAAAGCATCCTATGTCATCACAAGGTTGAGTCAAGGTGTCTACGGGCAAAGATGGCCTATGGAGTGCTAAACTAAAATGTCCCCAACCAGAATGTGTGTTGGTACTAAGGACTTACTGGGCATAAGGAATGGTATGTAGATTAGTTTTTGTTTTCAACTTTTTTTTTTTTTTTGAGACAGAGTTTCGCTCTTGTTACCCAGGCTGGAGTGCAATGGCGCGATCTCGGCT